GAAATGTCCAGGGGTGTATGAGCGACGCGCTTCTTAGAAAATGAAAAGGTATGCCATTTAACGAAGCGTAAACGGCGTTAAGTTTAAATTTAATAAAAAAATCCGAGAATTGGCGAAACGACGTTGGAAGAGACTAAACAAAACCCCTCCAAAAACATCTTCATTCATCGTGCGACCATTGAGTTTTCGATCTCTATGTGCTCTATCCCCCCTCTTCGACACCTGCAAAAGTTGATCGAAACCCTACCCATCCAAAGTCACCAATCTCGAAAAACCTTGAATTTCTACAATGAGGATGAAAAATGCTTATGTGTCTTACTCCAAGAACGGAAACGATGAGTACCATGCGGAAGAGACGATGACAAAGCATAGCGGAAGTCCAAAGGCCACACAAGGAACATTCAAGGTCAGAAACTTGATTATAAATGAATTATTCTCTCTCCTAATAACCACTGGACAACGGTTTATGAATTTTTGGTCTGGTCGACTAAAATTAGTGTTGACGAACTTGTCGCACTAATTGGATGTCATTCCGTATGAAATTCGTTGACATTAAATGCCGTTATATAAGATCCGGCAATCAAGACGAAGGCAAATGTAAAGGACTTTCCACATATGAAGCTGATTGTGAAGTCTTCACTGCAAGACTTCCAAAAATTGATGAAAGAAAAGTTATGCGACCATATGGAAATCCTACAAGTGTTTAGGAGAGATTCTCCTTTTGGTGCTTTCCTTGATGTCCATCTTATGGCAGTTGATGGTTAGGGAGGCTAATGTGGAAGGAGAAAAAGATTCTGAAATGTAGTTTGTAGTAAATGGAGTTCCCATTAAATAATCTCTAATGGAATTTTTCTTGAGTACTGGACTTAAATGTTCAGAACTAGCATCCAGATGCGAAGAAAAGTATGATAAGGATTCACTGCGTGTTTTCGTTCAAGAAAACTGGTCAAAAAGTGAGGTATGTTACACCTCTATTGTCGAGACGTTCTCAAAATTGTGTCGGCTACTTGACGAGGAAGGGAAGAAAGAGTATGCACTCGAGTGGATAATGAAGGTGGTGACAATGATGTTTGTTGTCCTCGTTTTGATTGGTCATGCTAAGAAAGATGCGCCAGTTCCAAAATGGATCCTTGCCAAAGTTGCAAACTCTGATGATTCCATGTCTTTTTCATGGGGGGCATGGGCATTCTTGGAGTCCCTCCGTATCTAATCTTTGGGGAAGGACTTAGTGTCAGAAAAAAAGAAGCTTGTTAAAGGCGGGAAAACATCCAACACCCTCCGCTACACTGGCTTTGTCCTCCCCTTATCCGTGAGTGAATTGATTTAAATTGGTATTAAAAGTTCCAACAATTTCATTGGTTAAATTGGGCTTCATTTATTGGTGCATGCAGTATCTCCTATTTGAGTGTATTAACTCCCCTTATCCGGAGTTAAATAACTTAAATAGTTTAAAGCTTGAGTAATGCTAGAGTCACAAACAAATAGTTCACAAAATTTACAAACTTGTCTTTTTAACACTTTCCTAGAAATAAGATACACTCAAATAATAAAAGATATTTTTGTGAAGTTTGTGAACTTTATGTTTGTGACTCTAGCATTTTCCTTAAAGCTTTTAACATTAAGCGAGTAACATATCTTTTTTATTTTTAAAGACTTATTTAAATAAAAAAGTAATACTAATCAACTGCTATATACTAATTATCAAAATATCAAATATGGATATTTGGAGTTGTCTTTTTGTCCTTAGGAAGTATTCCTAAGTCTCAAATATCTAATAGCGGTATTGCAGTCTGCTACTCCGTTTTCATGTACGTGAGAACTATAGTAATATAAATAGTTAGTACTTTTTTATTTTCTTAAAGTAGTTTTTGAATGATATATATTTTGGACCGATTCTAGTCTTTAGATCGGTCATTTACCAACCTTGGATAGCCCAAGTCCTCTACTGGTCTTTCACTTGTCCTAATCGTCCTTACAATTAAAAAACTATTTGAGATGTCAGTCTTGGACTGAACTAGTCTCAAGGGCCGTGTTTGGAAAACAAATTTTCAAATATCTTTTGGTATCTTTGTCTCACTTTGGCGTTTTTGACTAAGCGAACAGCCAAAACTATTATTTGGCTAATGACTTTTTCACTTGGTATTTTGATCCAAAAAGCCAAAATCTGAAAAGCCAAGGAGAGTAGCTTTTGTACTTGGCTATTTGAAAAATTATTTTTTTTCATTTTTCTTGAAAGATATTCTATAATATATGTAAAAAAAAATAAAATTAAAAGTTAAAAAAAATCAAAAAAAATTCAAAATTATATATTTAAAAAAATGAGATGAGAAAATAAAAAGTAAAAGTCATTAAAAAGTTGTATATCAATAATTTCTTATTAATTAAATGGAAGTAAAATTTAATACTCCATATAGTAAAGATTTAGTTTTGACAAGTAAAGAAATGAAAACAAATATCCTGTGTGTGTGTGTCTATATATATATATATATATATATATATATATATATATATATATATATATATATAAAAGAACAACTATTTTCAAATATCTAATTTTACTAAACATTTTTAACGATCAGCCAACTCATTCTATCAGCTAAACTATGTAGTCATTCACAAGAGTTGACATGAACTACCAAAGGCAAGGCCAACCTCCAAACAAGACCAAGGACTAAGGTTCCGTTCCGTTCAACTTATTTTTTCTGATCTGATCTGATTTTTTGTAGTTCTAATCTGATTTAATTGGATCTGATCTGATTAGATGTAATTAGATCTGATCTAATCTGATTAGATTTGACCTAATCCGATTAGATCTGATCTAGTCTGATATGATTTTAATAAAAATAATACAGAGTAAAGAAACAGAAAAAATAAGTTGAACGGAAGAGACTGAACCTAATTCGGTCCGGATGGGTATTTGGGATCTCAATCTTTTTGCTCTTCTCGCGGGTCACCTCTTCAAAGACAATCATTGCTATTGCCGGTTCGCTTTCCGATCAGAAAAATTATGATTGGAACAATTTCCTATAGTGACAATTCATAGTTTTCAGAACCGGACCGGTGACCGAACCGGTCAAGGTACTGGTTCACTGGTTTACTGGTCGAACCAGTGGTTCAACTGGTCGAACCGGTGGTTTAAACATATTTAAAAATTATATAAATATAAAAAAATAAATAAATAAATATGTGTGTGTGTGTGTGTGTGTGTGTTTGTGTATGTATATGTATTTACACACACACACATACATACATATAGACACACACACATTCTCATTTATAAATATCTAAAGAAAGTAATTTATAACATTTAAGTAATATTATATTAATATACTTGAGTTATTTATAAAAATTAAAAAATAAAGTTTACATATTAAAAAAATATAAAAGAATTTTAAATGAAGAGTTGATTTTAGTTTTTTCAAATAAGTTGTTTAATATAAAAAAAACGAAATCTTTGAATGATTTGCATTTTGTAATAGTATCAATAATATCAATGATTTTGTGTTTGACTCATAGCTATATAATATTATATTTATAAAATTGAAAAGGAATTTATATACAATCTTTTTTGTAATTATGAAATATTATAAAAGATTATGTGAACTTGTAACAAAAAGCATCATTGCTTGGATGGTTAGAAGCTCAACCAAATGTCTAAGAGGTCTTGAGTTCAAATCCCCATGGAGGCAAGTTTGGAAAAAATCAGCAAAAAAAAAAAAAATTGTGCCGACCGGTCTGACCGGCCGTTGAGTTCAAATCCCCATGGAGGCAAGTTTGGAAAAAATCAGCAAAAAAAAAAAAATTGTGCCGACCGGTCTGACCGCCCGGTTCAAACCGGTTTGTAACAAAAAGCATCATTGCCTCAACCAAATGTCTAAGAGGTCTTGAGTTCAAATCCCCATGGAGGCAAGTTTGGAAAAAATCAGCAAAAAAAAAAAAAATTGTGCCGACCGGTCTGACCGGCCGTTGAGTTCAAATCCCCATGGAGGCAAGTTTGGAAAAAATCAGCAAAAAAAAAAAATTGTGCCGACCGGTCTGACCGGCCGGTTCAAACCGGTTTGGGCCGGTTCGAAGTAGGTTACGGTCCAATGGGCCGGACCGGACCGGTTGGACCACCGGTTCGCCGGTTCACGGTCCGAACCGGCCGGTCCGGTCCGGTTTTTAAAACTATGAGTGAGAGCACTGGTAATACATGTAACGCCACTCGGCGTTATGCTACTTTTGAAGCCCGGGGGCGTTAAACACCGCCCCCCTAGGGCTTCATCCAGGCTTCATCTCTTCTACTTCAAATATTTAACGGGCTTCAAACTCTTCCCCCCCTCTCCCCACTCTCTCTTTAAAAAAAATATACACAAACATAATTTTTTTTACTCTATATTTTTTTGTTTAATGTTATATTTTTTTTTCAAATTTTTTTTAGTAATGTAATTTTGTTTTGTTTTTTATTAAATTTAACATACTTTTTTATTGACTGTATTTTTTATTTGATGAATTATTTCAGTTTGCAATATTTTACTACAACTCGAATTTGAATGAAGATATTTTTAGTTGCTCGAATAATTAGTAATTTCTTTGTAGTGTTATTTTTTTATGGATGTGATATTTTTTTAATGAATGAAACTTTTTTATGAATGTATTCTTCTATGAATGTAATATTTTTTTAATGAATGTAATTTTTTTAATGTACTAATCTCCTTTTGATTAATTTAAATAATAAATTAATTAAAATTTAATAATTTAAATTTAGAAGATGTATATTTAAAAATGTAAAAAATGAAGGTTTGAAGCTCCTGTTTGAAACCCGGGGCTTCAAACCCATTTCCAGTGAATTTTTGGTGTAAGTTAAAACTGACGTGGCAGAGAGAGAGTTTGAAGACCGGGGGCTTCACATGACTAAAAGCGTCGGCGTACCGAGGGGATACATAGAGCAGACAAACAATAGAGAAACTGAGCTGTTGAGCTTCCAAATGTAAAAGATTTAATTAATTCAAGTATTATAAGCATAAGTGCTTGCTTCGTTCAATTCTCATCTGCGATTAAATAATTTAGAGAAAGCCGAAGAAGCCTGTCTCTACCTGCTGGTTGTATTGGATCTGGCCATATGGACCACTTCTCCAAGTTGCCGCTTGATTGCATCTCTGAAATTATTTCCCTGACGTCGCCGCCTGACGCCGCCGCGTTCTGTCTCATCTCCAAACGCTTCAAATCGGCATCGGAGTCGAATGCCCTCTGGAAGAAGTTCTTGCCGCCGGACATTGATGACCTCATCTCGAAATCGCCATCCACTACCATACCCTGGAAGAAGAAGAAGGATCTTTATCTTTCCCTATCTCACTCTCCCATTCTCCTCGACCGTTGCAATTTGGTAGGTAGTACTTATAAGGAAAAATTAACTAAAATAATCCCAACTTTACCCTGTCTTTCAAAAATAATCTCATCTTTCACTGTGATACAAAGTTTTAACATATCACTTCTTATTTTTTAGAAAAAATTATCTACAATAATTCCAACTTTACCGGATGGCTTGTTCTTTTAAAAAATAAGTAGTACATTAAGACTCCGTATAGCGTATAAAATGTTAAAACCCACCACTCCGTATATATTTATTTTATTTTTTACCAGTTTCTGTTTAATTTATATTGATTACATTATTTATTTGATTAATTTTGTATAGTTTTAGTTATTTTTCTCATTTTCATTATTTTTATATCTATTTTTTCTAAGGTAAGAATAATCTTTAAAAAAGAAAAAGAAATGGAGGTTGAAAGTAATTCAAAAAATTTAAATAAAAATTTCAAAAAAAATTAAAAAACAAAAATTCATCAAAAATAATCCCAACTTTCATTTTGTTGTCTAAAACGGGCATTTCCGTTAACCCTCCGTTAGAAACTTAACGGCGACCCAAAACTGGCAAATTTCAATAAAGTTGGGATTATTATGGATCACAGTGAAAGATGAGATTATTTTTGAAAGATCGGGTAAAGTTGGGATTATTTTGGATAATTTTTCCTACTTATAATAATTAAATGCCTTAGACCACATTTGGTACATGGAATTTAAACTATGGAATTAAAATTGAGAACTTCAATTCTAATTCTGGTGTTTGGTAGCACAAAAATTATGTGGATTTAGAATTGATAGTGCAAAAAATGAATTGGAATTAGCAGAATTCAATTCTATGGAATTGAATCCCATGGAATTTCAATTCGAATTCAATTCCAATTCTGTCAATTCCATATACCAAACAGACCCCTAGTTTTTGTTTTATTATGTTCATTTGTTCAAAATTAATTCTTCGTTTTTTTGTATTGAATATTGCGTAAAAATTCACTCCCTAATTTGAACTACCTAAAGTATGCTAAAAACAGGGTATTGACTTGTTACCATGAATTACTTACTGAATTGGTAAACTAATTTGAAAGAACCATTCAAAATTTTAAATTCATTTTAAGACTACTTCAATCGATAATTACTTATTTACACCACGATAGAAATTAAAATCTCATTTGTCACCCTAAGATATAGGCCTTGTTTGAAAATATCATATTTGTAAACATTAGTGTTTTCTTTTTAATGCTGTAAACTACCGTGGAAAATGCTAAAGTTAAACAAGGTTATTAAATACGTTGTAGTTTTTAAAAAGGTAAAGCTAAACATTGAAACTATTGCTAAATATACCGACCTGTAAATGAGTTATATAACAAATGTTTTCAGTTATTTTATGAATTAACAGTTTTATTAATTTGTAATTTTTGTCTTGCAAGTGGACCTTGTTGCCAAAAAGTAGTCTTGTTTTATCGGTTTTGACTTGAATGATATTTATTTTTGTAACTTGACCTTCTAATTATATTCTATAATCGAAGAAAAAGGGAGACAAATCATTTAAATGACTTATTATATGATGAAAATTGAATGAAATATGTTGCAACAACTTAATTTAGATACATTAGTCATTTTTTTACAAAATTAAAATTGTTTCAAGGAAAATGAAAAAAAGAAATAAGAGTTTTAAAATAGAAGGGAGTAATAAAAAGGAGTACATTCAATAATTGCGCGCAGATACTTTGTTGTTTTTCAAAACAGAGTTTTTTCCTTGAGAGAAGTACAGGCAAGAAATGCTTTATGGTTCAAGCGGCAGCACTTAAGTTCATTGGGAGTGACTCCTACCACCTGCCGGTGACACAATACATACTCCGAGAGAAAACAAGGTGATTGTCTACTCCATTCTTTCTGGTTTATTTACCCTTTTCTTTCCCTATATAAAAGTAGCTTAGTAGATGGGGATCATGTGCTTGGTTAAATGATGTTTTTATAGATTAGTTTTATGTAATTACAAATTGATGTCTTAAAAAAAGATGGAGAATTTATTTAAATAGCACTAAAACATAATTGCTATTTAGGGAAAGAAATATTTGCACTAAATAGCACTAAAACTTAAGTCATTTTTCTAAATAGCACTTAAACTGTTTTATTCCCTAAATAGTACTTAATAATATCCATAATGTCCAGTGATGACGAATATTTGCTTGAATAATGACTAATGCATAATGACTAAAAGTGCTACATTGGGAAGAAAAACACTTGTGGTGCTATTTAGAGAAAATCATTATGTTTTACTGCTATTTAAGTAAATTCCTCTTAGGGAAATGACTTAAGTGTTAGTGCTATTTAGTGCAAATATTTCAAGAGGATACCAGTGTGATACATTATACTGTAGGATGCAATAACGGTGTTTGATAAATGTAGTTGACCCACCTAGTGGGATAATACTTGTTGTCCTTGGTATACAAATGAAAAATAAAATCACATATTTCAAAAGTATATCAAAAAAATTTAACGCTAGAGTTGAGATGACATGATTAATTATATTTATACTTCTTGTCATTAACTATAAAAATAAATATTTCTTATTAGGTCTAATGATGAGTTTAATATATACTCCCTCCGTTTGGAAAAATCCTTACCATTTTGATTTGGGGCAAAAATAAGGAAGTGTTAAACTATAGTTGATTTCCAATTTTGCCCCTGGTGTGATGAGTAAAAGTAAGATGTGATGGATAGATTATTAGAAAAAAGGTATGATGTGATAGGTAATGTATGAAAAAGTAAGGGTAAAAGTGGTTTTTTAATAGAAAATGGAAGTGTTTTGTTGGAAGTGGAAAAAATGAAAGAGGAAGTGTTTTTGAGAACGGAGGGAGTATATGATAAAAGTCTAATTTATCTCATCTCAGGTGCAGAGTTTATCTCTTTGAAAAGTTTTTTTTTTAAGGGATAAGGATCGAGTAAAGGAGAAACAAAAAAGTGAAGGGCCTTTTTTAACTTGGGCCTCGTTTGGTACACGGAATTCAAACTATGGAATTGGAATTGAGGACTTCAATTCCAATTGTCATGTTTGGTAGCACAAAAATTATGTGGATTTGGAATTGGTAGTGCAAAAAAAATGAATTGGAATTAGTGAATTCATTTCCATGGAATTGAATCTCATGAAATTTTAATTTCAATTCAGTTCTAATTCCACCAATTTCGTGTACCAAACGGACCCTTATTAAAATTATTGCTCTTTCCACACTTAACTACTCCGTAATTTCTAACAATGAAGTCTTTAATTTGATGGTAGGTTTGTTAAGCTAGTCATGCTAGGTACAATGTACGGCACGTTTGATATTGTCGGGAAAATCGACAGTCAAATGATATCTGAGGAAACACATTACTCCTCGTATTTGGTGTTCAAAGTCACTTCACAGCATTGCCCGGAGACCTCCACCCTTAGCCAAGTGAGAGGAGTGTGTAGATATGCCGACAAGGAGAGCGTAACTGTGGCGATAAATAGAGCTTCACGTTGTCTTTTCCACAGAGACGATAATTCTCTTTTCTACGGTGTCTGCTTTCCTAAAGTGCGTGTTCCTACTGCTAGAGGGGACGGGTGGTTTGAAGTTGAAATTGGGACGTTTTTCAGTGGTGGGGGGAACCATGGCGACGTTGAATCTCATGTGTTTGACATTAGCCTTTCACCGGGAGAGACCCTTATGGTGGAAGGGATTGAGTTTCGGCCTGAAAATATTTTTGGAGGTATGAGCGGCTTGGGAATGCTTTTTTCAGAAGAGAAGTAGAACTAGACAAGGCTGCTGCTGGCTACTAGTGTTATTAACAAAAAAAAACAGTTTTCTACTGCATTATTGTACTCCATCCGATTCTTAAAACCCTTGCTATTTCATTTTTTTTGTTTCTCTTAAAACATTTCCCCTTTTTATTAAAAAACCACTTTTGCTCCTACTTTTTCATACCCTACCTATCACATCATACTTTTTCACTAACAACTAAACTATCACATCTTACTTTTACCCATCACATCAAGGGCAAAATTGGAAAGTCAACTACAATTTAACACTTCCTTATTTTCCCCCAAAGTCAAAAGAGGAACTCTTTTGAGAAACGGAGGTAGTACTATCAAAACTGCATTTTTTGGATGGGACCCTACCAACTTAATTACCGAATTTTTGCTGGTGCCTAGCTAGTGCTATGTTAGACTGGAGAGAAGTATGGGTTTTGAAAGTGAGAACTTTGTGTGTCCTATATCAATATATTATGGTATGACTTATTGTAATATACCTAAGATTCACTACAATCATGTGACTCAAGCTCAGCATTGTTAACCGTAAAACTCACTTACACTAACTGTAAAATTTTCTAGAATGTATAGCAAAGCTCCCTATGATTATTTTTTTTACTTTGATTTTTTTAAGTAACAAAAATCAGAGGAGGAGAGGCTAACTTTCTTTGCTCAATGGATACAATTTGCTCACGGGAAAACATCCTATGGATTCTATGTCCTTTTGTCTTTAATGAATGACCCAACATTTAATGTAGGACATCTCTAGTTGCTGAATGGTTAAATGATGCTAATGACACTAGTAACTTTGGTTAGGGTTTACATAGAACTATATTAATATTAGTAAAAGGTGTTTTGGATGCACGTGGTTCCACTTTAATGCGAGATAAAAAAAGAATTTTGTTATAGTTTTATGACCCATGTGGACCTCGACTCGACCTTGACCATAGGTCGCCTTTAGGGAGATGACGTTATGTGGTGGTGACTGGTGACGTGCGATGATGTCATGTGAGCGAATAAAAAAGAAGGTGATACTTTGGTAATATTCTCACTTTTTGAAATAGATAGCTCACATTATGTTATTTCACCAAAATATTATCTAACCGTAGTCATTGTAGAAAGTAAACAAATTAAACAAAATAAAAAAATTTAACCGTGTAAGTCATATTTGAACAATTCATCACACCATTATGAATCTAGACATTAGTTTCAAAGACCCCAATTGCACAACTTAACATATAGGGTTGGTGGCAATGATAAAAAATAAGGAATATTTGAAAGTTCCTACAATAGTTGAGAAAATCATTTCAAAAAACAAGAAATTCTTATGTGGTTTTAAGGTCTTTGTTCATAATATGAACTTTAGTATATAAATATAATGGATGAGTTAGGCTCTTTGAGATCAAAAATTAAAAGATTCTCATGTTAGTACATAAAAAATGTGAGAAAATTCACATTTCTTGTGTGGTTATGAAATGTGGATCTTCAAACCATAGAAGAACAACTATTAAAAATGTCTTATGTACTCCATTTTATTAATAAGCTCACAAACAAGGCTTTTGTCTCCGCTATAATAACTTCTCTTTTGGCAATCTAAAGACAAAATACATTCTATTGCACGTAAGAGCATCTCCAAGCACACTAAGTAAACATGGCTTGTTAAATTTATATTCCGTATTTTAGTATGTAAATGGTAATATGCTCCCTTCGCCTCAATTTTAATCGTCTGTTGTTATTTACAAAGTTTGAGTGAAATTATTTTTAATTCAATTTATTTGAAAATTGAATGGTATTGAAATAAAAAGGAAATTTATATATTTATAAACTATTCCAAGAATTCTAGAAAACAAGAGGTTGACATTGTGGATAGTGAACATGTAATTTAAATTAGGACAAAAGAGGTATATAACAATCATTTTGAATTGTCATAGAAAAAATTCACCTCAATACTCTCGGAATTGCACGCATTCACATAAATATTTCGGGATTCAATAAATGACACCAATGCTTCTAAAACATTTCAATATTTACATCGGTAATCGAGAATTGATATTTGTTTACACTGGTGCCCCAACATTTGGAGCATAAACATATACTCCGTATCAATTCTCGGAGCAATGATGTGAATAGAGAAAATTTTTGAAGGCATTAGTATCATTTAATGAAATGGAGTATTTATATAAACTCTACATTTTTGAGAGTATTATTGTGTTTTATTCCATTGTACTAGTGCCATTTTGGTACCAAAGGGTAAGAAATGATATTATCATATACTCTCTCTGTCTCAAATTTGATTACAATTTGGGGTTTATGAGGAGGATTATCTCATTTCTGAAATCATTTTATTTGTAAATCAATATATCAATAAGAAATAAAAAATATATATTAAAAAACTACGTCAAAAGTTCTACAAAACAAGAGGTAACTAGAATATTTTATTTTATCAAATGCTTAATGAAATCGCGTAAACAAACGAAAGTTATCGAGAAAAGAGAACAAATTTTTAATCAAAATGAGAACAGAGGGAGCATGCCAAAACGCAACATCAACTTTTTTTGGTGGTATGGAGTAGAGTTTATACCTTAGAGCATATAGGCATGTCAAACCATTGACTTGCCCTGCCATTAATGGAGTGGAAGAGGATATAGTGGGTGAGGAAAAAATTGACATGCATGGCATAGGGTGAGGCACCCCAATTTGCGAGGCAGGCGCGAGGCAAACTTAGATCAAATATTAGATTTTCAATTCCTTTTTCTTTCTTGTTACGGAGTTTTTTTGTTTTTTTGTAATCCTCCAATCCACTTTTCATGGCACATGTTAGTTGGCTAGCTTTTTCATTCTTCTTTCTCACCCAACATTTTTTCATAACTAAAAATATAAACCCACTTTTTAAAAATATTATAATCCTTTTTTCTAAAACTACACACACAGATGTATTAAAACTAAACATTTTACCCAAGCCTATGCAGTTTTGCCAAATTTAATACTCCGTAGATAATTACAATAATTTTGAATAATAATTAAATTATATGGAGTACCATTTATACTTGACATCAAAATATGTATTTTTACAAAAACAATAATAAAATTATATGGAGTACCATATAAACTTGACATCAAAAACATTATCATTGCCAAAAAAATAAAAAAGATTAGAATTATTTTTATTAAAAAAGACAAGTAAAATAATTTTTAATAATTAAAATACATTTGAAAAGTGTAAAAAAATAATAACAAGAGTGACTTGCCACTGCAAGGCATGCCACTCCATCCATTTGCCACACGGTGACTGGATTGATTTTGATTGGCTAAAATACTCCACGTCATCGTGTGACATTCCATTTCTTACTTGCAATTGCACATGCTCTTATACGGAGAAATTAGAAAGACCTATGTTTAATTGCCGGATTAAGGTATTTGTACCCCAAGTTTTTGTACCCCGTAGGTTTGCACCGACATTTTGTGTTGGTGTAAAACTAATTTTTGTTAACGCACCAAGACTTTGTATCCGTATAAATTTTTGTTAACGCACCAACGCTTGTGTCAGTATAAACCATCAAAATGTTTATGTATAACTGTGGTGTATAAATGAGATACATTTTTTGGTGTAAGTGTAGCATGGTTGTTAATTGCCATGCAATAATTTGCGGGGATATGCTAGGGGTACACCAAATGTGTATCCTAAATGTACACCACTCCCCTTTCTACCATTCATTTTATTTTTATTTTTTATTTTTTTTGAATTTTTTTGTTTTTTTTCGCTTTTTTTTGTGTACCCCTATCATTTTCCTAATTTGCGACGAGGGTCACTATTTCAAAGACAATTTGGGGTTCGCTTTCCAATCGAACAGTAAAGAAACTTAACCGTTTAACTTCCAACTGTAAAAGATTTACTCGTAATTAATTAATTCAACAATTATAAGTATAAGTGCTTGCTTCGTTCTTATTAGAGTATCTGCGATTAATTAAAGTTCCGATCGAAGAAGTCCAATATGGACCACTTCTACAAGTTGCCGCTGGATTGCATCTCTGGAATAATTTCCCTCACGTCGCCGCCTGACGCCGCCGCGTTCTGTGTCATTTCCAGGCACTTCAAATCGGCGTCGGATTCGGATGCTGTCTGGAAGAAGTTTTTGCCGCCGGACATTGATGACCTCATCTCGGAATCTTCATCCACTCCGCCATCTGTATTACCAACGAAGAAGAAAGATCTTTTATCTTTACCTCTATAACTCTTCGATTCTCCTTGACCGCTCCAATTTGGTACTTCAACGCTTCTCAATAATTTTGTTTTTTTTAAAACAAAGAAATCACTTCATTCAACAAAAAAAGGCCGTACAAAATCAGGTGGAGTCACAAACCAAACCCCAGCCCCCATCACAACTCTTTTAGTCAACACATGAGCTAACACATTAGATGTTCGATGGACAAACGACAAAGTAACATAATTAAACTGAGATAACAAGCCTCGACAATCACTAATAACCGAACCAACATAAGACAAAAAATAGACTCTCCATTTATTGCTTCCACAACCCTAGAGCAATCCGAGAACACCTCCAACTCCGTAAGTCATTGCTCCCTCGCCCAACCCAAAGCCCTTCTACATGTCATCGCCTCCGCTAAACTTGGATCAGTCTCACATACTAATTCTCCATTCAACGCAGCAAAGAAAGAGCCATCATGGTTAAAGAGAACACACCCAAAGCTAACCATAGAAGAAGGGGGGAATAAAGCTGCATCCACAAACAATTTGAAAGCTCCTGATCTTACCGGCCTAGGATATGGTAAAGGCAGCCCAACTACCCGACTAGAAGCACTCCTAGACCAACTTTTTTGAGTTTTAGTAACAAGACATACCGTGCTCGAGGGTGTAGGAACTTGAAACCGCCAAACTGCAGCATTGCGGGGTTTCCATAACGCCCAAATAGCCAAAGCAAATAGCTGCAATTCTGACCGAGAGGTTGTCTGCACCACCTCTCGAAACCAGGCATGAGCCGAAGTGCTCCCTTCACGAATAACACGCAAACCCAACCGGGCCCAAATTGTCACCGCATAAGTACAGTGAAGGAATAAATGCTCAACCGTCTCCTCACCCAAACCACAAATAGGACATACATTCACAATGTTAAGTCCCTTAGTATTAAGGTTAGAGATGGTTGGCAAAATATTTTTGATAGTTCGCCATAGACAAACCTTGATTTTCGGTGCAACTGGGATATGCCAACAACGTGTCCAGTTCACCTCATTTGCTGCTGCTTCAACCTCTCCAACATGCCTCCTATAGCCATCCTTAACACTGTAGCCTCCATGCAAAGTACTAGCCCAGAACCACCCATCCTCGTGTGAAACAGAGAAAGGGGTTCTCAAAATTCTGTCCGCAACTATAGGAGGAAACCACTGCCGCACCACCTCCATTCTCCAACAATTGCCACCCTCATCAATAAGGAAGTGTACTGACATATTTGGCATAAACGGTGGTGGTGATGAATCCACAACTGAACTACCATGACTCGCCATCCAAGGAGGACCCCAAATCAGAGTTTTTCTCCCATCTCCAATTCGTCGCCTAACTCCAGCTCTTAGTAGATCTTGGGCTGCAAGGATGCTCCGCCAAGAGTAGCTCGGATTAGAGCCTAACCCCGCCTCAAGAAAGGAGGATTTTGGGAAGTATCTTGCTTTAAACACACGTGAAACCAAAGCCTTCGGTTGCATTAGAAATCTCCACCCTTGCTTTCCCAACATCGCCACATTGAAGCCATGAAGCTGCTTGAAACCCAGACCTTCAATTTTTTTGGGGATAGTTAAGCGTTGCCAAGACATCCAATTGATACCGGTAGAATTTATCCCCTTGCCACACCACCAAAAGGAGTTCATCATTCGTTCAATGGTCGAACACAATGACCGTGGAAGTAAAAAAACTGACATGGCGTACTGGGGCATCGCTTGTGCTACAGTCTTTAAGAGGACCTCTTTCCCTGCCCGTGAGAGTATCTTATTTCCCCACCCGGTAAGCCCGCATCGAATCTTATCTGCAATATAGGAAAACACTTCAGTTTTATTCCTCCCTAAAAAAGAGGGCAAACCAAGATATTTTCCAAAATCCTCCGACTGAGTAACTCCAAGGAAAGAAGAAAGTCCCCTTAACAGCATCATTTGTGTTGGTACTAAAACAAATATTAGATTTATGAAAATTCACCATCTGCCCCGAACTACGTTCATAATCATCGAGACATCTCTTAATCTGAGATACATAAGTTGTCCCAGTAACTCCAAGTAACAAAGCTAAATGATCTGAGCTCCTCGTATCAATGTTGAGGACACAAGCTCGTGGAAAAAGCGCTAACCAAGAATCAGTAGCCACTGCTCTATCTAACCGTTCCTCAACCCAATCTGTCGAACCCCTTCCACGCTCCCACGTAAAAGGATACCCTTTCATACCCAAATCAATCAAACCACAATCACGCAGTGCTTCATTGAACCCCAGTAGTAACGACAGTGGATGAGGGGCGCCCCCTCTCTTCTCAATAATTTTGTTTAATAAAGAAATTAATATTAATTGTTTTAAATATCCTATAGATTGTGTATGAACTTTACTCACATGAATGTGCAAAAACTAATTTACTTTTTTTCCTTTGTCTCTTTTAATCTTTATAGTTGACATTTTACCGTCTTCAATATATAATATTTTAATCATTGATATTTTTATTTATAGATTGATAAAAGAGCTTTTTCTTGGATAGAAGTTCGGGTAAAAAATGTTTCAAGGTTCCAGAGTCTGAATTCGAGTTCAACTGGTATGATTCCAACAACCCCTAGATGCAAAGGATACAAGATACTCTAATATTCTCTTTTGCATAAATGATCCCTGAGTTATTCTGGGTCAGAAAAATTAATTTCTGACCTTGTCTAACTCATTTCAAGTTTTTCTAATTTTTTCTATTTTCTTCCAATATGATTTAAAAAACTAATTATATATGATTATCTACCCTAATTTTATTTTATTACGACGGAGTATATAAGACCCAAAAATGTTAAACCCAAACGATTTGGTCTTTTTTCCGTCCAAAATAGATGCACTCTGTACTCATAATGATTATACCGCTCTCCCTATAAACAAAGTTCCGTTAGTTTACTCTGCAATGCCTACTCATCAAACTATTGAGTGCTATTCCTTTTATGTGGTTGAATTGTGATTTTTTTGTTTTTCGTTATTTCTAATTTTCCTCATTCCCTTTTTGTAACTTAGACTCTCATTTTGAATCATACTCCGTATTATCCTCCCTAAAAAATATTCGTAATACCCTATATTGGTTCCGTTTGACATCAATGTCTGAGGTTAGCGGTAACATTTTAAAAATGTTATTTGACAGTAGCCTTTTGTATTAGCATTTTTAAATTAATTTATACCACTAATTTTTTTTTTATAGAAAACGATAACACTAATCAAAAACATTTTTTCCCAAACAAGACCATTATCACCTCATTCTTTCTACCCAATTTAAAAAATAAAAAATGTGTAGTTAACAGTTGTGGGAATGAAAATAGGTTTTCTAATTATAACAAGCTATTTTTGTTCAAAAGAAAGTGAAGTATTGTAAATGAATAACAAAGCAAAAAGTGAAAGTAATGTTCGACCCTCTTATAAAATAACATTAGAGGTTGACGTTTTGAAAAGATTATCTAATGACATCGTTTAGCATTAACATTTTCAAAAATAAGTTGCATCAAATAAATTGAATGTAGAACGTTAAAACTAATCGAAAATGATTTTCTCAAACAACTTGAAGTACACTCTCCCTGGCCTCTCAAAAAAAGTTACAAAATACTCTTCATATAATCAACTATTATCTATTTTATTTAACTATTTTTGTTACTCATTTGATAAAATAGAATAATTCTATCACCTCTGGTTTTTCATACAATAGAATATTACTTTTAAATTTCACACTAATTTTGAAATAAATTAAAATAATAATAAATTAAGCCTAAGAGCATTCACAATGGCAAGTAAGAAATAAAATGACACACGATGACATAGAAACTTTCAACCAATAAAAAAACAGTCCAGTCAGCGTGTGGCATGAGAGTGGAGTGACATGTCATGCAGTGGCAAGTCATTGTTTTTATCAATTTTACTCTTTTTGCACATTTTAATTATTTAAATTTATTTTATTTATATTTTTTTCAAATAAAAAATAAAAATATTTCAAAATTATTTAAATTATTTAAATTTATTTTGTTTATATTTTTATAAACTATACTCTTTTTAAAAATATTTCTTATTTAAAAATAATTGCGTTTTTTTTCAAATTTTACATTTTTTACATATGTCTTATTTTTACTACAGAGTATTAAAAATGAATTTACTTAAATTTTTTCCAAAAAAAATACATCTACTTTTAAAAAATCTTTTATTTTATGGAGAAAAAAAAAAGAAAACAAAAATAATGTCTCGCCCATTACTTGCCAAGCATGGCAAATCACTATAGCCTTGCGAGGCATTCTACTTCATGTGCTTATGTGGCAGGCGTGGCACAGCCACGCCACTGCCAGTGCTCTAACATTCTAAAAAAAGTTTCATTTAGAGAGAAAGTACAACTTTTTGGGCAATATGCCCAAACTTATAAAATGTCACTTCAAACATGGAAAAAGATAAAAAAAAATTATCCAAAATCAAAAGATGAATTTCTTTTTATTCAAAATCTTTCACCTGAAATTGTTCAAATTGTGGTATCCTTTGGCCGCGAATTATGGAAAAAATATATTTAGTTATAAGTAAATTTAGTAAAATTTGTTTTATTTTAAAATATAGTTTTAAAATATCAAATTTTTATAATATTTAATTATTTTAAACTATATTTATTTTGTGGTAAAAGAGTTCACAATTTGACAAAAAAATCAAAATGTAGCAATATTTTAGGGACGAAGAGAGTATTTATTTGAGTAATAATTTAAAAGTGCCTTACTAGCACTTTAATTTTTCAATATTTTCCAACTTCATTCAGTTTTTTTCAACATCTAACTTTAAAATTTCAACAAAAAATAATGGGAGATGCTAGGGGTACACCAAAGGTTTACCCCAAATTGGTGTATCCCAAATGTAATCACATGCCTCTTTACCATTCATTTTTATTTATTTTTTTTAATTTTTACATGCAAATTTTTGTGATTATGAATGGGTGGAGATATTTAGTATGCACATTTGGTGTACCCTTCATATTTTCCAAAAATAATATGGCCTCAATGGGTATTTTATGTCCATCCTAAAAACCCTCCATCCCAGACCCCGCCCCTCCAAATATAAGGTCATTCGTGTCAAACCTCGTCAATTTCTAACTTTTTTTTACTGTGCGCTACTTGGAGAGAACTTCGAACATATTGCATGGTTATGTTGCACTAGTTAAATAAAAAAATATTCAGTGTATTTGACTTATCTAAATCATTTTTTGGATGATTACATTTAAAAAATACTACCTCCATCCCAAAAAGATTTACACATTTTGACTAAAGTTGAAATTAAGGGAGGATAATTTTGTGTTGACTTTCCAAAAATACCCTTGATGTGATGGGTAAAAAGTAGGATGTGATGTGTAGATTATTAGAAAAAAGGTATGATGTGATAGGTAGAGTTTGAAAAAGTTAGGGGTAAAAGTGGTTTTTTAATAGAAATGAGTAGGAGATTGTGGGACACAGTTTTTTTGAAAGGTGTAAATCTTTTTGGGACGGAGGGAATATAAATTATGTTAAATTGTTAATTTCTAATGCAAAAATAAAATTGTTAGTCTCACGTCATTTTTATAATTATTTTTATATATAACATGTGATGTAAGATTATCTTTGTTTGGTCCGGACATTGTTATATTATTTAAATCTGGTTTTTCTTTCAACCAAGATTAGTAAAAAGTATTGCTTCATTTGTCTTCTTATTTTTTACATGGGTTAGTTACATACAATTGAAAAAAATGAAAAGTTCTACAATTGATACTCCCTTCGTCCCATATATTTTCTTCGGAGTGTTCTTTTCTAACTTCACGTGAACTTTTATTTGTTTGCTTTTTTTCATGGTGTATATGATAAAATAAAATATTGGAGGAAAATTGGGACATTTTTCAATGTTGGAGGGAACCGTGGGGACATTGAGTCTCGTGTGTTTGACATTAGCCCTGTGGTGTGGGAGACCCTTATTCTCTAGGGGATTGAGTTTTGGCCTGAAAGTATATTGGAAGGTATGAGTGATTGTGGGATCCTTTTTCCAGAAGAACAGTGAAAACTAGAGAAGGCCAGTGTCATAAACAAAACAAAACCAATTTTTTGCCTCGTACTAACATTTGTGGAAATCTACTTGGTTTTTGCTGATGTAGCTCCATTGTAATGTGGTGTGACATGTCGTATTGAAGACTTTAAAACTCTTGTGATTTGTGGTATGAGGGGTTTATTTTTCTTACATGACGGATTCACTTTTGAGAAGATTCGTGACCTTGTTCTTGGCGAAGATGTAAGAAGAAGGAGTTCTGGTGAGTCTTCGGAAGAATCACTAAATATCGTCAGAGGCAGAAGAAATAACAGAGATAGTGGGAGCAAGAACAGACGAAGGAGTCAATCAACGACTCGGGATAGCTCAGGCGTAACATGTTGGAAGTGCAAGAGGATAAGCAAGTGAACATTGCTAGAGGCTCCGCGAGCAACGAGGATTTGTTTATCTGTTAAGCAGAGAGCAGTGTAGATTCCTGGGTCATGGATTCTGGAGCTTCATTTCATGCTACCCACAACGGTGAAGCATTGCAGAATCTAGTTGTTGGGGACTTTGGAAAGGTACGACTAGAAGACGACAAAGCTCTTGATGTGACGGGCATGGGTGACATAGTGCTGAAGACCCCAGTCGGTTTCTGGACTTTGAAGGATGTCAAAGTGGTTCCAGGCTTGAAGAAAAGTTTGATTTCTGTCAGCCAGTTGGACGAACAGGGACACGAGGTGAAGTTCGGAAATGGGCAGTGGAAGGTCGTGAAGGGAAATCTTGGCATGGCCCGCGGAAGGAAGAGTGGGTCGTTGTACATGGTCGGGTTACCGCCTGAGGTAGTGACCGTCCCAGTTCAGAAGAGAAACAAAGTCCGGTTCACAGAGTCTCGTGGGCAGAATAAGGTTGTCTTTGCAAGAGAGAAACCTAGAGCCACAAGTCAGACTCGGGATGAACGAGCGAGGAAAGGTTCAAGGAGGGCAGTGAGAGGTATCTGTGGCAGTGGGAGCACAGGTGGTGCTTCAGCCAAGGTTCCTAAGAAACAATGGGTCCGGAGAACCAGTATTCCAGCTGTTGGAACATCTCCAGTAGATTTCTTGCTGACTATGGAGATTGTTTGTTCTCAGGATGTTCCAGGATCTGGCAGTTCGTGGGTGTAGTGGGAGCCGGTAGGGACCGAGGACGAATCAGGGGTAGTTCAAGCCATGACTGATGGGTTGAAACTCAAGAGAGTTTCAACAAAGTCTTCTCGATGATCAAGAAGGCTGGTGGCAACTAGAGGTGGTGGAATTTTGAGTTCCGTTGTCAGATTACAGAAGTACATGTGAACAGTTGAAGCGCAGGTGAACATTGTTTCGTGGCTTCAAGTGGGAGATTGTTGAGTGTGAAGCCAGGAAGCTAGGTGGAAGCTAACAGGAAATTGGCAGGAAACTACCTAGAAGCTTCTAACTTCCCTAATCATTGTGCTCTCCTAATTAATCTCTATTTAAGAGTTGTTAATGTGCTTGTAATGGTGGTGCAACAACAAATAATAAAATCCTCCTAGTTGCCCTGTATGGACGTAGGTTGCAGTTGGCGGCCGAACCACGTTAAATCTTGTGTCGTTTATTTTTCTGTAGTTGATTCGTGATTGTGTGTTCTTCCACAAGATCAAGATCTCATTTTGTTCAAGGAAAGAATTCGAGTAAACTCAAAAGATCCTCGGATCCACCCATAGACCTTTTTGAGTCCCTTCAGAATGAGGATTCGGAATATTCTGGATTGATTCATAAAAAAAATATTCAACAACAAAAAGAACGAGCAAGTTCTTGGGATCCTTCCTTTCTTGAAACGGAACGCGAGAAATATATGATTTCTCAGCGGTCTCCGGAAAAAATGGAACATTTTCGGACAAGATTCCTTGGTTCTTTTTGCTCGGAGAGATGTTCAGAACTATATATAACGTCGACTCCGATTGAGAGGGCCACTAAGGATCCTTCCTTTGCGAAGAAACCTCTTTGTTTTGTCCGGCGAGCGTTTCCGCGTGCGTTTATTCCCAACAAGTGGTATCAGAGCTTTGGTTCGTTAACACACTGGAAATCCGATTAGCAGAAACTAATCAGAGGAGTGTCATCTAAGAACCAGTTACAGCAGAAAGAGCCGAAGTGAGGGCCGCTGCCGCCGGAGCACCACCATCCCCGTCGATTCCCACGGAGCACTGCCGCGCTTGAATCAGAGAGCCGCAGCAGGAAGTAAGTCCCGTGAGACTCACCGCTGCCGCCTTTAAACGAGCAGAACCAGACCGCCTCCCTTGCTGGTTCGAGGGGGACCGCAGCAAGCGAAGGAGTCGCTGCCGCCGTCACCCGCGCAGGAGCAGTCGCTGAGCCGTCCGCCGCCGTCACCCCGCCGTTCAGATCGTGCCGCCGCTGGAGATTCGTTTAACCCCATCGTCGCGCAGGAAGCCGGAGCAGCGGCAGAAGGAAGCTGCCGCCACGTGTAGCAGCCCCTGCCGTCCTCCGTCCAACCGTCAACTGCCGTCCGCGAGCAGGGCCGAGGTGCAACCGTCCGTCGAGATCACTTCGGCCGCAGTGTCCAGAAGCTTCACTGTGTAGTGACCAAAAGGAATTTTTTTTCCTTTTGGAAGGTACTGTTCAATCTTTTATTGAGTGGAGTATTTTATGTGGCCCGTGATATATGGGAGTGGTGTGATTGGAATTTGAAGAAAAGGAAAGGTGGGCCGTGATTTGTGGGTGGTGGATTGATTTTTTTGAAAATAGGAGATAGTGGTGGGCCATTCATCTGAATATTTTGGGTGGTGTCAATTTTTTTGTTCTAGATATCTTATCTGATAAAAATATCAAGATCTGAAATTAGTTGTACCGGGTGTCTCGTCTTGTCGTTGGAGATGGCAGAAGATGGGAAGTTCCGAATTGAAAAGTTCGATGGTACAAATTTCAGTTGGTGGAGAATGCAAATTGAAGATTTGCTGGTACAGAAAGATTTGGACGTGGTTCTAGGTGACAAGCCAGAAAAGATGTCAGATGCAGATTGGGCAAGTTTGGATCGGAAAGCAGTATCTGTGATCCGACTCTCGTTGACCAAGAATGTTGCGTTCAACATTTTGAAGGAGACGACAGCGAAAGGTATTATGGAAGCGCTGTCTAACATTTACGAGAAGCCATCTGCGGCAAACAAAGTGTTTCTGATTAGAGAATTCGTGAACACAAGGATGAAAGAAGGCACTTCAGTGCAACAACAAATAATAAAATCCTCCTAGTTGCCCCGTGTGGACGTAGGTTGCAGTTGGCGGCCGAACCACGTTAAATCCTGTGTCGTTTATTTTTCTGCAGTTGATTCGTGATTGTGTGTTGTTTCCGCGTGCGTTTATTCCCAACAGAGATTGTATATATTGTGACCGTTTTAGTGTCGTTCTTGTTGGTGCATCGGAGCTTCTATTTGTCCGGATAATTGTGACCATTCCACGTGGACAAAGTCCATCTCGTACAAAAAACTAGAAAAACAAAAGACCTCATATCATACAACCTCGAGCTCAGGATTGAAGACATCGCCATTTGTTAGAGTATAAAACATATCGATTTTTTCAGTCTACATTCACAAACTTGGTTTTTAGCTGACTTGGTTCATTGACACCATTTCTTTCTAATTCTCCTTGAATATGCAAGTAGGTGTGAGCATGATACATTGATACGGTATTTGCCTCGTACCAGTACCGATACCGTACCAAATCTAGAGCAATTTTTTTCGCAACTACAATAAACTGTGAGCTTTTCCCCCCAAAATTCTTTAGAAATTATAGTCGTGATCTGGCCTGACCATAACTATGGTCTGGCTTTCCAAATCCTCCGTGTTGCAATGTAAATACTTTTCTACACAGGTTGCTTGTTTTCTTGGATTTGTTATGATTGAAGAATAGTTGATTGTAAATGGACCCAGAGGTCAGCTCCTTCACAGTTTCCATCTGCTTCATCACTGTATTTTCACAGTTTTTTAATAGGGTGCAGCACTGTAAAGACCTGTCTTTTTTATGTTCGATGTTTGTTTGAGATAAAGAATCAAACAAAATTATATAAAATCCTGCTATAAAATACTACGTTCCTGAGTATTTGTACAGTTTTGACTTTTTTCAGTCAACTGTTTTTAACCTTTGACCTATAATTAAATAAAATATATATTGTATATTAATTGTATAAAATAATATTTTGAAAATACTTGATATAATAAATGTAATAAAACTATTTTTGTATCAATATCTAATATCACTTTTATTTAATTTAAGGTCAAAGTTTACTAATTTTAACTGGAAAAAGTCAAAAGTAGAAAAATACTCAGGGATAGAGAAAATACATTAAAATTTATCTAACTTGGCGTAAACTTAAAATAATTAATAAATTTTGTATAATTCATGGATCCTAAACAAGGGATAACTCCGTAAATAAGAGTAAAAAAATTATTAAAATACCAAAATATGAGTCATAAGTTTTTTAAGACCAAAATAAGAGTTCACACTTTCATTATTACATTGCCACACTCACTACATTATCACATTGTAATTGTCAAACTATCACTATCTCACTGTCATCCGTCACTGCCGCAGATCGCTGATGGTTCGCTGATCATATTGATTTATTACACTCTCATCACTATTCCATCACAATGCCAACACGTACTCTTACACCAAAATCCTTTAAAATCTGAATTAAAAATACCCTCCGTAAATAAAAAAATAAGTCTGACATCATGGATCAAAACAATTTACCATAGCATATGTATAGAGCTGGCAAATCGGTCGCTCAGGTCAGGTTCGGGTTCGTTTACTTCGAGTTCGGGCTATTTCGGGTTTGGGTCAATTCGGGTTTGGATTGAAAAATGTATGTTCATGACTCAATGTCATCGTGTTTGGGTCGACCCAACGGGTTATGACTTTGGTTTTTTAAATTTTTAAATTCACATTAACACTTACATTTTCTATTAAATAAATTTAAAATATTAAAAAATATGTATTAAATCTATTAGATTATTCTATTTTAAATCCTAATTTTTTTTCAATATATAAATCAACATAAGGAACTTTTGAAATGCTTAAGTTTTAGAAAAAAGTAAGATAATTATGCAATATCATTAAAATTTTGTCTAAAAATATAAATTGATACATTAAAAACGAGTAGTAAAGTGTGATTTTGAAAAACTCTTACTTTAGCGGGTCGGTCAGATCGGGGTCGGGTTCGGTCGGGTTTGACCCATTTTTAGCAGGTCATTTCGGGTTCGGTCAACGTCGGGTTCGGTCAACGTCGGGTTCGGTCATCAAAACCTTTGTTCAAAATCTAGTATTTTCAGGTCGAATTTCGGGTCAAAAACAGGTCGGGTCATTTTTTGCCAAATTTAAATATGAATTACGAAGTCCACTCCTAGTTTTTCTAATTTGCTTCTTGGGACCTACCATGCATGCCCCACCACCCACTCTTCGGTGATTCCATCCCAGGTACCTAGGTTTTTTTGTTGAGAAATTTACCTAAATAGGACTAAAACATAATGACTTTTCCAATATAGGACTATATGTTTTTATTTTCCAATGTAGGACCTTTGCTCATTATCATGTAGTCATTATTCAACTAAATGTCTATCATTACTGGACATTATTCCTTCCACAAGGTCATTATTAAGTCCTATTTAGGGAATAAAAAAGGTTAAGTCCTACATTAGGAAAGTTATTATGTTTTAGTCCTATTTAGTGCAAATTTCACTTTATTGTACTCCAAAATTTAAAACGTTAAATTTATGGTCATGCTAGAGGGCCCTCACCAATGCCCCCTTCTAGAGCTTACAAATCAGTCCGTCACGTCAGATTCATGCTCGTTTACTTCAGGTTTAGGTTCGGGTTGAGAATTGTATGTTCATGCTACAGTACCATCCATCGAGTTCTGGTCGACCCAACGGGTTATGACTTTGGTTTTTAAAATTTTATCAATGGGCGATGCAGTTGTCAAGGCAAGGGTTGCCAATAATCCCAAGATAGTAAGATCCAAGTTCAATTTCTACTTGCAACTGCACTGGAAGACAAGGGTCTCTACAAGTACTAGAGTCCACTTCTTGCCACTAGTTTACTTCGTCTCAACGAGTATTTGACCGATTCAAATAGACTCGTGGGAGTTCATCGTTTTTTGAAGACACGATCTATAGTGATTGTGTGACCTTGAAAAATGTTGTTGTGCAGAAGAGTTATAGGCTATATCAGTCCATTATTGTACATACACGACATATACTCATTTTATTAATTCTGCCTAAACATTTAAGGGTCATTTTAGTACTTTCTTCCTAAAATGTTCTTCCCAGTTACTATTTACACAATCAAACTTTAATCACTTTCTTTACTTATTTTCGTTGGTTATTTGATAAAATAATATAATTTTGTCAACTCTTGTTTTGTAGAACTTTTGATATAGTTTTTAAATATATAAATCTTATTTTTTTTAATTTCACATCTACAATCAAATAAATTAAATTGAAAATAAAATCCGTTTAACTTCGTAAACAGAAACGGGAAGAACGTTTTAGAACGCGATGAGTAACATTATTCCCCGTGGAAAAAACCAGTACGGGCATGTGACCTTGAACAACCACAGATGATGTCTTCACTCCCAATCACGAGACTCCAAATCTTGCTTCAGGAACCTACCTGTGCGGGTAACTCTCCAAGAGGAAACTCCCTCCGTCCATAATTAAACTTCCCACTTTCCTTTTTTGAATGTCCATAATTAAAGTTCCCACTTTCCTTTTTTGAATGTCCACAATTAAAGTTCCCATTTTTACTTTAGGAAAGAAAATTAATGCAAAAAGTCTTTTATACCCCTCTCACATCCCACCCTATCCACTACCCACCCTAAATAATTCAACCCTTACATTTACTCGCTTCGTTTTCTCCACCCATCTCATTCATCGTCTCTCTCATTCATCACCTCCCAAATCCAAATCTTGGATCTTTGCTCTTCCTCCCAATTGCCTACTCCTTGAAATCGATATAGGGTTTCTCTGTTGCTCTCTCATAAACCCAAATTCGTATGAAATCTGAAAATTATTCTTGCATTTCCATAGTTTCAGAGACTCCAAATGTCTTCGCCAGTGAGGAGGAGTTAGATGATTCTGAGAAAAATACTCCCCCAAATGTTTATGGCGAACAGGAGATCGAGCAACTTCCCCCAAATGTTCTTGGCGATGATGGTGAGATGGTGGCAGCCGTGGTGCCTGATTCTGAGGATGAGGATGAAGCATCTGATGCTTCGATGGTCCTAAGCTCTGGATTCGTGTGTATTCGAAACCATGCATGTGACAGCTTTCTAAAGCTTATGTTCCCAGGGTGGGATTCACCCAAGTATGCTTCTCTTTTTTCTAATTTTCTGCTTGTCTTACGATGTGTGAGTGTTCTGAGCATGCTGTGATGAGTTTACTCATTTGTGGTGTTCAATTATGCACTTCTCCAGTACCCTTTGTATGTGTGTCCCTACCTCTGAGAATGCTGTGATGATGTTCCTGAGCATAGAATGATGAGGTTCCTGATTTCTTATCTTAAATTCTGCACCTATTCAGTTTGTGTGTTTGCACTAATCTCCTTTAGCCCTGAGCATGATGTGATGAGGTTTCTGTGTTAAGTTCTGGATGTGCTCAATCATTCCTCAATGTGTGTGTGCACTGTGTTTGTGTGTGTTTCTGAGCATACAGTAATGAGGTTGTGTGCAATTGTCTCCATTACCCTTATCATGCTGTGATGAGGTTTCTACTTCATGAGTGTTACATTTTTCACTGTTGTTACTTAGGTATGTGTGTGCACCACTGTAGTGTGTGTGTACTAATGTTGTACCTTGCACATGTGTGTGCACCTCTGCAATGTGTGTCTGTGTGTGCACTACTTCCCACTAACCCTGAGCATGATGTGATGAGGTTTTAGAGTTTAAAATTGTGCACTTATGTGTTTATGTACAACTGCAATGATGATAAACATGTGCACTTTAATGCACTTTAGTCCATATTCATATTGGAATAAATTTGCATGAATGGTTGTTGTTGCTGCTTCTAAAGCCTTATATACATAAACCCAAAATTCAAAAACCCAAAAACCAAAAACCAAAAACCAAAAGCATTATACAACCACATGCATACATAAGCAAAAAACCCAAACACCACCAGATACTTGTAAAGTGTTAGTTCATTCTTGAGTTCATCTTCTTCAAGAATGAATTGGCCTAGCAGATCTTCATGTGTCTCAACCACAAGTACTGGTGGAACACTGTGCCCATTAAATGTTGTTACACATTTGTCATACACACCTTGTTGCAGTTGCAACACATAAGGCAATGTCCCCTCCATGCACATACCATCCTTTCCCATGTGTAGAATCTTGTAGTTATTACCCCCACCCACTTTCATTATCTCTTCCATAACTTGTTGATAGGTCAGCCAAACTTTATTTAGTGTATAAGGTGAGAACTTAGCATATGCATCATGTACTGCATCCATCAACTCTTTGACATTGGTGGGAGCTGCTTGATGTTTCAGTGATTGTATAGCTCTAAAAAACCCTAAATCCAAAATATTGAGGTCTGGGGAATTAAGGGGCTGATTTGTTAGGGAAATCTCGAAACCATTTGTTGTGCTTGCCATGACATAGTCTATATCATTCCCAAGAATGTGTGGCCTAGCATTATATTGTTGGATAACAATTTCCTTGGATAAAAAGTGTGGCCACTTTTCTTGGATGGCAGGTATGACCTTGTGCAGCAACAAGTTTTTAAACACTTCTTTTGTAACACTGCACACTGGTTTGGTTTCCAGAGAACCTGCCTCCCTATTTTTGCTTTTTCTCTTGGCTTCAACAGATTCCACAAAGGGAAAAATCCCTACTTTCCCATCCCAAAGTACTTCTCCATCCTCTGAAAACACAGGTCTTCCCACCATCCCAAGAAACATTATTTTTGTGATAAATCTCTTAGATTGACAAGCCATGTAGGGTTCTTCTTATTCTAGGGTCAAGTAGTACTTTTGGGATGTATTTGTCATAAAAAAACATTTTTCATCAATATGTAAGATATTTTTAAAACACTTGAAAGTTGGGTTTGATGGAACACTTGATGTCTCTACTTGGTCCAAACAAAACAGCAACCTTTGTCTCTTATTTGCCTCATAAGTGTGGGCTTAATTGCATTACTATGACTTCGAAGAATACCTCTTTTCACCCAGTTATGAATTGTATACTTGCACACATCTGCTGCATAGGTTAGTGACCTGATTGTGGTTCTCTTTCGCAACGGGATGTCTGCAATTGTATCCATGTCTGCTGCAAATCTTTTCCTCCCAACCCTTCCTACCATATTGTTCCTTAGATCAATGCAATGTCCAACGTGTAGTTGTGTCTTAGCTTTTGACCACAATTTCGAAACAGTTCTTCGGCTTACTCTGAACTCAACAGCAGCTTCATTCACAGCGCCTCTCTGAGCAGTTTCTGTCCCCATTAAATTTTTTTGAGCATGTAGCAACAAGTAGTCTATGATTCCCTGCCTTTCTATGTTTGTAAGCTTTTTTGTCCTTTTCTCGTGTGTGTGTTTTGGGATTCTCTTTGTAGTGTTTGTGTACTACTTGATGGATCCATTCTTGAGATTGACATGACAGTAGCAGCAAGTCTAAAAAGAAAAGTGGTCTCACTTGGTAGAAAGAGGAAAATGGAGAGACAACCTGGCAAAAAAAAGATCTTAAAGGGAGAGGAACACAAGTGGGAACATGAGGGACAAAGTATGCTACTGGAAGAAATGAAACTGCCAGAGGANGAAGAAAACAAAGAATAAAATGTGTGGAGGCTTTTTAAAAAAGGAAAGGGCATGTATTAATAGGTGGTGAAGAATGTATTATGGGGGGGGGGGGGAATTTTTTTGTTTTTGGAGGGAGTTTATAAATTTGGCAACTTTAGGCATTGGAATGCCGTGTAAAATGTGGTGTGATTTAGAGTGTACTTTAACTTTTTGCTTTTTGGGATAGTTTTAGTTCTTTAATCATTATCAATCAAATCATCACTATTCCTACTTTATTCACATTATTACTTTATTTTTAATTAAAGAAGAGCAAACTTGGAAAGTCAAGGAAATTTTTACTTTTTCTTAAAGTGCGTGCCCAGTCAAACCGGAAACTTTAATAATGGACGGAGGGAGTATATGTCTTCGTTGAAACATAAGTTTTCCCTTTCACTAAAGCTCGAAACAAATGATGTTTCTCTTTATTTATACAAAGTATCATTTTAGCATAAAAGTAACTTTCACATTGTTATTTTTTCTATTACAGAGTATTACTCAATTGAGTAGATACAATAAGATAAAGCTGAAAATGAACAAATATGGGTACAAAGATTCATTGGCCAAAAAGTACATTTTCAAGCCGGCAAGAAGCAATTCAATGAAACTCTACATTCCTGTTATATGGCACTGGCTCTATTGTAGATATATGATCTTGAAACGTATAGGTAAGCAAAAAATGAAAATGCAGAAAGTCCGGCAAGAAGCCAATAGAAATAGTCGAGATGTGCCTTGTTCAAGTTGTCTGAAAACCAACTAATTTCTCCGTCTTCACGACTGGCTTGTTCAACGATTGAAATGAGAAAACTGCTTAAGAAGCTGCCAATGCCAAATATACTGAGGTACAAAGAAAGGCCTATGCTTTTCAGTTCCTTGGGCACCTGGTCATAGAAAAACTCTTGCAACCCAACCATGGTGAATACATCAGAAATGCCAAACAGCACGTACTGAGGAATCAGCCACCACACGCTCATGGGAACAGTTGCCTTGGGCTTGTCAAACAATCCGAAATCCAAAGCAGTTTGAAGACGTTTCTTCTCAACTACGGCCGCAACCGCCATTGAGAGGACAGATAAAAATATTCCAGTTCCTATTCTTTGAAGCATTGTTATTCCAGAGGGCTTCCCAGTCACAGCTCTCATAATAGGAACGAAAAGGCAGTCATATATGGGAATAAAGATGACAACGGATAGGCTAATAAAGGTTTGTAGTGTAGCAGCAGGCACTTTAAGATTTGATCCAATGGATCTGTTCATTGTAGCTCCTTGCTTTGTGAATAAGGTGGATGATTGTGAAAACACAACGGCATAAACTAAACACGCCACCCATATTGGAGCAAGTCTGAGAATGACCTTAGCTTCATCAACCTCGCTGATGCTACACACTGTTCCATCCTCCTTTGAACCATCAGGAGCCAGCAGTGCCTTGTTAAGGAACCTTTGATGAACAAACAATCAACAGAAAAGTGTAAATTGTAAAGAAGAAAATTAATTAGAAGAGACAAACGTTATGAGCCATATATTATATTCCTAAAAGTGACATGGAGAAGTGTAAAGTTCATTTTGAGACGGAAGGAGAATAAAAAACAAACCTATCAAACACAGTGCAGTACTTCAAGAATTTGAAAATAAAACAAACAAAAACAACATTTTTGAAACAGAAAACAGAAAACATGTAACGTTACCAAACAAACCATAAGTATTTACTTACTTGAGCTGCTGAGAGCCTTCACAAGGTAGAATTCCCTGGTTCTCTTGTTCCAATGATATTGATGTAAATTTGGTCTTGCGATTCCTATATGCATTGACAAACACACGGCCAATTTTCACAAAAGGATCTTTCTCATCATTGTCTTGACGGAAACGATAAGTATCAGTTCCAAACAGGAAGACAACAAGAGCAAAACCCATAATGATACAAGGGATTCCAAACCCAAGAACCCAACTTAAGTTGTCCTGAATGTAATTCAAAATCCATAGTGTAGCCATAACACCTAAGCACATCCCAAAATACCACCAGTTGAAGAAAGAGCTTTTGGCTTTACACTCTTGCGGGTCTTGACTGTCAAACTGGTCAGCCCCGAAAGCTTGAACACAAGGCTTGTGTCCACCTTGTGCTAGTGCCACCAGATATAGAGAAAAGAAGAAGAAGATAACTTGGAACATAGGAGGAGAACAGGCACCTAACTTTGCAGCATCTTGACAGTCAGAAGGCCCAAAAGGAATGACAGCAGAGATAGTTAAGAAGCCCAGCCCCTGCAGTTTAAGGGTATGTTTGGGTCACGGAAAATTGCAAGGAAATGAGGGAACATGCTATGTGAAGTTATTTTCTTACATTTGGTTTTACCCCATTCAATGCAAATGGAAATGTAATACAATTAATGATCCTAAAAGTTTGCAGAAATTTAGATTTCTAAAGTAATATACTTTATATAACAGACTTAAATAATCAACTACTAATATCTAACATAAATTCATTTCTTTTAGCCATCTTTGATTCTCAAGGTTTAAATTAGTAAACTTTCAAATTCTTCTTTGCAGTATGCGGATATCTTTATTAAGGGTTTGCCAAGATATTTATTTCAGACCCTAGTCCATCTTGAGCAACCGTCAATGTCCCTTTTAAACTGTGGGGGCATTCTAGACTAGATATTATTTAGTAATATTGTTTATATTTGGCGTTCATTCATTAAACGTAGTTATCCCTATATAAAAGATTAATGGGATCTCATTACCAATGATACACATAGAGAGAACATGAGTCATACGTTACACATATGTTAGCCTTTTGACACGGTACGGTCCGATGCATGACTCCCACTATGTAACCAGTTCTCGCTCTAAGAGTTCCAGATAATCATCATCTTATGTATTGCTGATGTGATCCCCTTCGTTGCCGAATAAGAAGTAATCATTCTCAATGGATCATACCCTATCATATGATCCATTGAGGTGTACTCATACACGGGGCTTGTGAGTGACTCACGGCAACCACTTCGCTAAACATGTCAGGAACTTATTCATCAAGATTAAAACTTCCAACCCTTGTCCATTGACCATCATCTTCTCACTTCCATAAAACCACCGGGGAAATATCACCAACAGCATCCACGACTACACGATACGCATATACATGGCCCCCCAAAACCGGGGTGACCCGCCCCCATCACCTTCCCCCATACGAGAAATGAAATGTTAGCTATAAACTTGTTGGTTTCTAAATCAAATCCGCAAACTAAACAGTCATTGTCCAGTGCCCACATCAAACTTTTATCTTTCACCGTATTCATTGTGACGTCCAAAATAATGGAACCTTTTGGTAGGTCGACACGCACTGAATCGCCATCCATCTCTCGTGCTCAATCTATCCTAAAGTCAATCTGTTGGCCTCTATCCTCACTCTCACACCGTCTAGGTGTTTCAGTGTAAATAGAGAGCATTCAAATGAAATCGACCGTATACGCAACCAAATCCCAGCTTTCATCTTCACCAACCCCAAGAGGGAGTGGTAGAACATGCCCTAGTGACCTAGTCTTTCCAAAACAAGATTCCAAACACAGAGGTCATGCTCATCCCCCACTTCAACGGCAGCAACCCCTTCACACACCCATACAATTTGACTTTCACTTCGAAGCCCTAATCTCCTAAAGGATGGTGGATTTGGACCAAACCCCTAAAGTTTTCCGCATTAGGCATTTGAATTTGGTCAAAAACCTTTAGATCTAAGGACTCTGGACTGAAAAGCAAACATGAATACTCCCGATTTTGTATTACTCTCACTGTGACACCGTCCAAACACTTTTACCGACTTATTTACATTCGAGATACCTCAATTATAAACATTGTACTCCGGGCATTCTTCCGCCCGGAAAAGATCTTTTGATTACGCGTTACGGGGTTTAACCAGCTTATTTTCAATTGAATTTATTAGATTGTAGGTGAGAAATTTTAAAAATAAAATTCATAAAGTAAAAAAATACATAAAAAGTTCTGCAAAATAAGAAGTGGCATGAATATATTATTTTATGGAATGAGTAGTAAAAAATAAGCAAACAAAGTAAAATTTTACCATGAGAATAGTGTATGAGAAAATCACCTACTTTAACTTTAAAATAGGCACATTTAGTTTGACTAGCTTATTTTCAATTTTATTTATTTGATTGTAGGTGAAAAATCTTAAAAATAAAATTTATACAGTAAAAAATACATAAAAAGTTCTACAAAACAAGAAGTGGCATGAATATATTATTTTATGAAATGAATAGTAAAAAATAAGCAAACAAAGTAAACTTTTACCGTGAGAATAGTGTATGAGAAAATTACCTACTTTAGTTGTAAAATAGGCACATTCAGTTAAAGCTCAGAGCTTAGAGTATCACATCAGCCCAAAAAGGCTCCCTCCCCTCTTCAAACAAACCGACCTAAGAAGACTTAGCCTAATGATACGGAGCAGTAGTATTCCTCATCTAGTGTGCAACAATGGCAGAAGCTCGCACCAGGTGTTCCTTCTTAAATTTTCCATGAGGAATGCAAATGGAAGTTCTACGTTGGCTTTGTATTCAAGCCGGCCGAACATGCATCAGAATTGGTAGGCACTGTTCAACCTCATCACCTCCCCTTGTTTTAATGATCTCTGGACTAGTTCTCACTGCCTCGATCTCACCAAAAAGTGTTGCTTTTCAGTCCAGAGCCCTTTTGATCCTTAGATCTAAAGGCTTTTGACCAAATTCAATTACCCAATGGGTAAAACCTTAGGGGTTTGGTCCAAATCCCCCATCCTTTAGGAGATGAGGGCTTTGAAGTGAAAGTCGAAGTGTATGGGTGTGTGAAGGGGGATGAGTCTGACCTCAGGGTTTTGAATCCTGTTTTGGAAAGGCTAGGACAAGTCTTACCACTCCCTCTTGGGGTTCATGATG